TCTTAACAGAATCCCATCACTGAAACAGAATTCCTCTTTAAATACTTGACAGTGTTTAATCGTGTCGCTCCACGTATCTTGGTCGATGCCTGCTTTTAATTGTAGAATTTCTTGATCAGATTCTGTGTTCTCTTTGATTTCTTTAACCGTGACAGCAACAGGGCAAGAGTGTTCTACGATTTGATGGACAAAGTCGTGACTCTCAAATGGTGCGTGTACTCGCAGCTCACAAAGACGAGATAAGGGGTCTGCAATATTGGTTTTTCCTGGCCGATATACTATTTTGAAATTGAATGACTGAAGCCTCAAAACCCAACGTTCTATCCTCGCACAGGGACGCGATCTAGGACCGAAAATTGTTTCTAGGGGCTTGTGGTCTGTTATTAATTCAAACTGGTCTTTACCATACAAGTACATTTTAAAATGTTCAACTGCCCAAACTAAAGCAAGGGCCTCTTTTTCGGTTTGACAATATCGCTTCTCAACATCTGTTAAACTCTTGTTTCCATAAGCAATGATTCTGGGTCCGCTATTGTCAAACTGAATGAGAACAGACCCTAGACCTACTGGGCTTGCATCTGCGACGACCTGGGTTCTATCATTTGGATCATAATAACCTAGTGTCTTTATTTGAGATAAGCAGATTTTGAGTTTATTGAAAGCTAGAGTTTGTTTCTCAGTCCAGAATGCTGAAATGTCTGTGTTCTTGGATAGCTTTAGTTTCAAGATTGCTCTCAGGGGCTCTGTCAAGGTAGCTAAATTTGGTAACCACTTGCCAATAAAGTTAACTAACCCCAAGAAACTATGTAACTCGTCTGAAGTTTTGGGAGCTCTAAATGACTTAACCACTCCTACATAACTATCCAAGGGTCGTATTCCTGAAGGTGATAAAAGATGCCCCAGAAATTTTACCTCTGATATTTTGAATACACATTTCTCTTTATTTAAAGCAACATTATTTTCTTTCAATACTTTTAGAGTAAAAGATACCCTAGCATCATGTTCTTGTTCCGATATGCCATATATTAATATATCATCTATGAAATTAACAGTTCCACTGCATGGAAGTAACATCTTTTCCATTATTTTTTGGAATATTTCAGGGGCAGCATTTATCCCGAATAAAAGTCTCTTATATCTATATAATCCTTTACTTGATATAAAAAATGTTGTTATATCTCTCGATGTAGGGGCGATTTCAATTTGATGGAATGCGTTTTTTATGTCTAACCTCGAGAAAAATTTTGCCTTACGAAATTTTGTTAGGAGTGAGTCAATTGTAGGTAGAGGGTAGTTTTCCCTTTGTATTCCTGTGTTGGCTTTACGCATGTCAATACATATCCTGACATCTCCGTTTTCTTTTAAAACGGGCACCATGGGGGATACCCATTCCGATGGACCATTGACTTCCTCGATTATATCGAGTTTGAGTAATTCATCTAGTTTTGAATTAATTTTGGTCTCCAGCGGAATGGGCACCCGCCTATAAGGTTGGCTTATTGGTTTAATGGTTCTGTCTATCGGAATATGTATCAACACATCTTTAAATTTGGGAAAAGGTTCTACGTCTGTTACGTTACTTATATTTAAGCCTATTTTGAGAACTCCTAATGAGATCGCTGTAGACTTGCCTAACAAGTTTCTCTTTCCATTCTTAATAACATAGAAAGTTGCATTTTCTTGGTTCATGCCAAGCTTAATTTTAGCCTCAAAAGATCCTAGAATGCTCAGAGGTTCTTTTGCACCATATGCAAAGAGAATCTTGCTAGGGTTCTTTATTTGTTTAGAAACTTTAATTCCAGATCTCTTCAGGAATTCCCAAGATTTTCAGCAATTATGTTGGACTTACTTCCCGAATCAATAAGCACATCCATATTGACACCCCCAATTTCGCAGGTGACTGTGTCTTCATCGTCATCAAGATGGAATACATACTCAGTGTCGTCGGTTGTGTCGGAAACATTATGGATGTCGTCATCATTTCGTCTGGATTTAAATTTCTTCGTTGGTGGTCCCGTTTTAACTGGCACATTGCTAGGACGAAATATCCTCGTTGATTTGCAGTATCTCTCAAAATGGCCCTTGAATTTACATTTATTGCAGATAACGTTTGATGCCGGGCAGATTCTATGATTAACATCCCTAGATCCACATCTGGAGCAGGATTTTGTGTTCAAGTCTCTTCTGTTCCCTTTTGGTTTCTGCTTGTATGACACTTCGTTAATAGTGGGTAGTGATAATGAGCTGCTAGGTTGCTTTTCTCCAAACTCTCAAAGTTGTCTCTCAATTGTCTCTAGTGAATTTGCTTCCATAGCTATTTGTGCCAATGTTACAGAATCACCCATAGTCAGGATTTTTTTTCTCAGTTCTGTTGATGCACATTTTTCTGTGATCTGGTCAATGAGTTGTTCTTCAAGGTTTGGAAACTGACAATTTTCGGCTTGTTTCCTCAACCTCACGAGGAACTTCTCAAATTTCTCTTCTTTTTCTTGTTTAATTAGACGAAACAGGTGTCTTTCATATACCCTGCTTTGTTTGGGTGAGAAGTATTCATCTAGCTTTTCTAATGCTATTTTAAAAATATCCAACTCTTTGTTAGTAGGGTCTTCTTCAACATCTGTACCGGGGAGGTTGTAAAAGATTTCTTACATTCCAAGTCCTCCGAAATGTAACAGAGTTGCTTTGTTTTTTTTCGGATCGGTGATACTTGTGGCATCTAGGTATATACCTAATGCCCGCTTCCATTTTTTCCATCTTAACCCTACCGAACTAGCATTTCCATCACAATCAAAACCATCAAGAGTAGGAATACTAGCCATTTTCTGTAACAACCAAAATGCTAATGTAGCGTACAATACGGAATGCGCATAATATTGATGTGTTTAATCTCACGTCAACATTAGCTGGCATTAGAAATTACCTACAACTACCCTGCACTTGCATTGATATTCCTTTATACCTTTTCTTACTTTACTCTGCATTTATTTTATTTCATTTTTTTTTTTTTACAATTTTTCTCAGATAGGTTCTTTATACCTGTCTATACTTCATCCTGTATTTCTTGATACATCAGTCTCTTTCTCTGATGGGTATTTCTTTATACCTGTCTTTACTACATCCTGTATTTCTTGATACAGTCTCTCTCAGATAGGTATTTCTGTATACCCGTCTTTACTCCATCCTGTATTTCTTGATACAGTCTCTCTCAGATAGGTATTTCTGTATACCCGTCTTTACTCCATCCTGTATTTCTTGATACAGTCTTTTTCTCAGATAGGTATTTCTGTATACCTGTCTTTACTTCATCCTGTATTTCTTGATACAGTATTTTCTCAGATAGGTATTTCTTTATACCTGTCTTTACTACGTCCTGTATTTCTTGATACAGTTTTTTTTTTTCGAAATCGGTATTTCTTTATACCTGTTCTTACTTCACTCTGAATTTCCTAAGAAAGTTGTATCGCTGTGGTAATAAAACTATAGTAGTTCAAAACACTGTTAAATTTGAATTAATATATGAACTTAAGACTTTATATTGTATGTTTCTTTTCTCTGGCTCACCAACAAAAGTGCAAGGTAGTTAGTACCTATATAATACCATAATACAATTGCCATAATCTTTCCCTTCATTATTCTCAACTTTTCTGGTATAATGCAAAGCAAATTGCCATACTATTTATATAAAATTTCACACTTGTACTTACTGCTGACTTCAGCGATTAGTTAATCCTCGTCGCCAATTGTGGTGTTCACTATTTTATTAAATAAAACACTTTGTTTTCTTTCAACACTTGTATTATAAACAGTATAATATGTACGGTCTCATTCACTGTCCGTATCTGAATGAATCCCCAAATTAACAGTGCCTCTCGCCTTGTCATTCGGTTACATAAACATGACTTATCAATATACTGAATCATCATAGCAATTCTTCGCCCAGTTCGATACATCACACCGCCTTCCTCGAATAACAAGTCATATTTTCCGCCTACATCTATTCAAAGTATACATTTCCTTGGAGTCATTGTAGGGAGCAAAGTCGTACATTTCCTCCCTAGGGAGAATTGGTTTGGTTAGTGGTAAAACAATTGAAAATTCATGCACTATTTTTCTGCTCCCTTTTGACCCGCATCAAATTTCTCAACGTTGCCATAATTCAACCGACTTGGTATCTGTTATGGTTACTGAGATCCCAATGATACCCCTCGAATTTGGGACACCCTGTAAATCCTGTTGTGTAAGAAAGATACCACCCTGCATTTTTATATATAGTGATTGTTCAGATAAGTGACTGATTCATGTATGTACTGACAAATTTTTATTATATTACATAACAAACGAGTATTGATGAAGAATGTGAATCAGTTAAGTCAGTTGATAATGAGTCGTTCATGAATGCACTTCGAATATTTACTGTATTTTACAAAAACACTCGCGAGTGACTCAAACATCGATTCTTCAACGGGAATTTCATGATAAACTGAACTATAATGTGAAATTGGGTGTTCCAAAAACGGTGATTGAAAGGAAAAGCAGAAGTCTTGAATCTAGAGGGATAAGTGCAATGACATAAAAAGTGAAGTGCTAGTTTCATCTGAAATAAGAAGTGAGTACCTAGTTGATATTGTAATTCAATAACTTCAGAACATATTCTATCCCATCAGGTTTTAAGATTCATTCATATATTCTTCCAAGTCAATTTACCTACTTGAATTAAATGAACGTCAACATCAGAAATAAAAAATAAAATAGAAGCAATGGATGAAAAACGTTCACCGAGTGCGACTGATAGGGCCTGGTGAACAGAAACAGTATATATTTTATTACCCTTGCGACTCTGTTTATCCTAAACCTCTTAGTAATGATATTTTTTTATCTTGAATTTGTAGTTTTATATTTCAAAGAGAAACATAACAATTATTCAAGAATTTTTCTTGGAGGAAAATGTAATTATTGGTCTCAAAAATTACCGTAAAACATTATTCATGGTTTTTACTCACATTGCACCGGTACAATCTGCCAAATTCTCTACGACCAGTTGGGCATTGATGCAAATGTCAACGTTGGATAATACTTCGAAAAGCGCAACTTCAAGGGGTTCCACACTGTGAACAATCATCTTCAAAACATCCTTCATTCTGAAATACTTCTGCAAGAAAAGGGACGCTGTTTCTGGCCAAACGTTCGCCCTTCCAAAAGGTTCAATGTGGGCCAATTTCACCATTATCGCCTAAAAATCAATTCAATGATTTTCAACAACAAAATTTCTCTATTCTGTTACTGTTTTCGATTTTTTCTTTAATTAAATGAAAAATGTTTGGAAATGATAATACCCTAGATTATAATGTCAAAAAATCAAAATTGCTTGTAATCCGGGCAAGTTGAACATACGAGGTTACAAAAATTCGTAGCAAGCTGAAAGTTGGTAGGATTATTCAAGACACCATCATGAATGGAATCTAAAAAGTCCTCATCGATCCCGACACCTGGAAAAATTTTACTCGGGGTCAAAGATCACACAAACGGGTTTCTCGCGATTTTCAGCAAAATGGTGAGTTTAATCATAAAACTAGCTGAGACAAAAATTGTAGATCAGATAATTATCCATAAAACATGTTCAATTACTTTTTTTTCTAAGAGCCGCCGTTTTTGAGATATAACGATTCGAAAAGTTCAAAGAGTTGTAATCGTCATAACATGCATACGTTTTCACGCTCTTCACTAGCCGCCGCGGAAATTTTTCTCGACGTTCCGATGACATAAAAATCTACGGGAAAGAGAATACTATTACTTTGGAGTGAAAACACGCGTTTATTCTGACCTATTTCGTGCTATTTTGAGTTTTGTAACAAAAATGTCAGAATGTTGAAATTAACAACATAAATGCGACATACATCATTGATGGAGGATATTTATTACACCGCATTGTATGGGATAGCGAAGAAACATTCAACGTTATCTTAGATAAATACGTTCAGTATGTACGTCGACATTTTGGTCCCACAGTTACTGTAATATTTGATGGCTATAATGATTTTACGAGTTGAAGCCGCAGAACAACGTCGTAGAACTTCAGCAACATCTGCATCTTCTGATATTTCATTTGATCAATCTATGACAGTTCCTACCACTAAACAGAAATTTCTTGCTAATACTCACAACAAAACTTGTTTTTTTAAAACCTAGAAAAGCACAACAGCAATCGGAAATATATTCATCAAAAAGTTCATCTACTTTTGCAAAATGTCAAAATCATGTTCTATTTTTACATGCAATAACTGGCTGTGGCACTACACCCGCATTCTTCAGGAGGGGTATAACAACTGTTTTTGAAATGTTTGAAAAACAAGATTTAGTTGAATGTGCTGATATTTTTAAAAGGAGTGATTCAACTCCACAAGAAGTTATCACCAACGGAATTCGCATCCATCTCTATGTATGGAGCTCCTAAAAAAACTACGTGCTTAGATAAATTTCGATATGAATGTTTCGTTAAAAATACTCGAAATAAAAAACAAGTGCAGTTAGCTAGTCTCCAACCTCAGCGGCTGCTCATCAATATCTTTTTGGGTATATTACCAAGTTCAAGTGCGGCTTGGTTATCAGCTAGACCCAAAAGACTGGGGTTGAAAATTGGTCGGCAATACATTAGAACCAGTTCAAACTTCACTACCACCTGCGCCGGAAAAACTGCTAAACATAATTTTTTGTAACTGTAAGAAGGGATATAGTGCTAAATGTGGTTGCAAAAAAGTTGGATTATTTTGTTCTGTAGCATGTTCAAATTGTCAAGACCGGTCGTGCTCCAATGTTGAATCACCAACAATTGAGGATTCATTTGATACGAGGAGACATGCGTTGTGTCATTATTGGGGCAATTTACTTGCACCCAGGATGAAGAAGAAGAACAAGAAGAACAAGAGGAACGAGAAGAGGAAGCAGAAGTAATAGATAATGATGAATCAGATGAATAAATTTCCCTTTTTTGTTAAATTGACAACGCTTTCATCACTTTTATCATCTTCAACACTTGCCAATATCACAGATTAACCCAACTAGTCAGCTTTGATGCCGCCTTTGATGTTTAATGGGTCGAATTCCGTGACCTTGTGTACCAGTTACATCCACACCGAGAAAAATATATTGTTGTTTTCGCCTGATTCGAGTTGAAATCTACACTGAGAAAACATGCTTGCACTCATAATTTACCTTCAATGAGAAGCTATTCAATCAATGACATTGTATTACGAATAGCATTAAAAAAGGATGAGTATTATTAACTGTTACTCATTTGCAGCATCATAGAACTCCAGACATAACAAACAAACCAACTTTTCCATTAATATTTATTTGATAATCACTATTCATTTGAGTTAACAATGAGTAACTACATACCATTGAAAATAATGAAACGATATTCATGAGATGAAAAAAAAATATAAACTGAATTCATATAGATATTCGAATATTAGAATAATAAATAATAGAAAATGATAAATAATATGTAACAATAATTCTAAATATGAGATAAAATCGTCAGTTTCCTGTTTTTCTTCAGTTTTCCTTTGTCATTTCTGATTTCCTTGTTTGAAAATTTCAAGGTATAAAACATCTTCAATCTGATAAATAATTTGATAACATATAATGATGGAAACTGTGGACATGGATGACGATAGTAAACTTTTTACATTTCTTCCAGATATAAATGAGATATTCTATTTCCTTTTGATAATTCATCAAACTTTGAAACAAATATCTTTTCCAGCTTATAAATATAATTTATGAAATCCTCAATCGGAGACCTAAGACCACCATATACACTCTTTTCATTATCGAAGGCTTTGAAATGAGTCAACAATTTATTGTTATCTAAATTACTAGTCTCTACAGAATATTTTCTACAAAGTTCACAGCTATGAACATTCAATGATTTCTTGATCAAGTAACCACACACATAATTGAACGCATTCTGCATGGGCATAGTTTCATGTCTATAATCATAATCATTGAGTGAAATTGCTTTGCTTTCCTGTGTTATTTCATGTTCTTCATTTGTGATAATATTATTAATTATTAATTTTCATCAACAATTCACCAAAATCGTCATTACAATTCATATTGGTTGTATGAAGGAAGTTCTGACAAAACAGCTTCCTGAAAGCCCTCTCAAATTGAATGGGTGTGGGATTTATACAATTTCCTCCCTGCTGTCGATTTATACAATTTCCTCCCTGCTGAAATTGAGGGAATATGGTAGGAACTGCTTGTTGGAATAGGTGTTTCCGAGTTCCACCAGCTTGAGTTATATATTTATTCTCAAAATGTTTTTCACACACTTTAAAGTTTCTGTGCAGAGCATCTAAACTTTTATCTAGTAAATCTTCTCTATTGCATTTCCTCTGCCAACATTCAGCCCTTAAGATAACAAAACATTCATCAACAATACTTTCACCTATTGTAGGAACCTACTAAAGATTTCTATGAATTTAGGTCATTTCAACGTACCTTACAGGATCCTTTGGAAATGAAAAGAGACTTGTATCTCCGCCAGTTCTTGAGGAACACCCCCTAACGACACAAACCGTTCCTCCTTTACGAGACATTCTTTAGGTGTAAGTGTGCATAAAAAAGTCTTTTATAAATCAATGTCCTGTCTCTAATGAATCAAGATTTATCAATTGGCACTCAAAGTCAGAAACACAATTCAAAAATCTCGTTCAAATACTAAAATCGCATTGAAATGGAAACAACAACAACATAAACACATCACACACAGAAAGTGTCAAAGTGACAGGACAGAATTGAGGTTGAATGATATACCAGTTATATCATGGCGTCCCCGCACATGCGCATGAAAATTTAGTTCTGGCGGGAGAGCAAGGCTTCGTATCTGTCTAGTTGGGTTAATCTGTGCCAATTTATTCAATGATTTTAAATTGAACAAGATCACAACAGATTCGTGGAATAGGCCTACCGGGGAAACACGCTAAGTACATAAACTACCTCAAAGGTGGCGTGGAAACGTGTGCACATAACGATTGCAACTCTTTGAACTTTTCGAATCGTTATATCTCAAAAACGATGGCTCTACGGAAAAAACGTAAAACAACATATTTTATAGATAATTATCTGATCTACAATGTTTGTCTCTTCTAATTTGATGATTAAACTCACCATTTTGCTGAAAATCGCGAAAAACCCGTTTTTGTGACCTTTGACCCAGAGTAATTTTTTTTCCAGGTGTGGGATCGATGGGGACTTTTCAGATTTCATTTATTATGGTGTTCTGAACAATCCTAGCAATTTTCAGCTTGCTGCTGATTTTTGTAACCTCACTCGTATTTTTCGGTGTAACCTGACCGGCGTATTGGCATATAAAAAATGAACATTAATGAAACAATCCTTCAAAATTTCATACTTGGCTTTCCAGTTTAGTGAACGATTCCATGATAACCCTGATATTGGCCCATGAAACCAGTACATTGTGGCCCCAATCGATGAGTAAAACGTGCGCTTTCTCTGTGTTCATATCGACTTTCTTTATAAGGGCTCTGTGCCAGTGTCCTCTTATGGCATCCTTATATTCGACAACGACATAGCTTCCTACAACATCAAAATATATCAGCAAAAAGTGTGAAAATCATCACGAATTACTTATTGCTCAATCAATTTCTTTAATTCGAAATAATTGTAAAATAGAAGACTGATTCTGGTTTGCTATTTGTAGAAAAAAAAACATTGGCTGGCAAGTCAGTAATTGAACTTTACTCGGGGATATGTTGTGATTACCTTAACAGTTTTGTGACAACCTCTATTGCTCTCGAACTCATAGAAAATCACACACTTGATTGATAGATTGATTGTCTTTATTACCCCAAGAAACATTTCTGTTTATAATAAAACAACAAATTAACAGTTTCTCAAGATGAAAGTTATAACATAGCATTTCTGAGTAATCAAATCATGCCAAATATTTTTCATTCAAATTTTCCTGATCGAGTATTTCTCAACATTGATTTTAAACCTTCTTGTATCGATTGTTTGCCAATGTTCGACTTGAATGTATTTGATATCAAGCAGACTTGTGTAGTATTCGAATACCCAGTATTCTGAATCCTATTCAGAATACATTTGGCTGGTATTCGAATACTATTCGAATACATTTGTGAATTTGGTATTCGGTATTCGACTGAATACTTTTTTGGTCAGTACTCGGTATTCTGGATTCTGAATACCGTTTTTGAATTCCAGTATTCAAATACCCACTTTGTATTCGAATCCTGTTTTCGGATACTTTTGATTATTTCTATGAATATTGCGTTACGCTTAAACGGAGCCGTCGCTATATATTATTGGTCGATCATATATATTTTATTAGTTCCTATGTTTTATTTGTAATGGAATGAATTTTATTTCAAGTTTTATTTATTAGTTGAGATTATTTTCCATTATTATCTTGCTAAACAATTATTTTGTGTTACCTTAACCTCATTGTGGCACTTTGGATCAAAAAAATATTTATGAAGTTTTATTTAATATATTTTCTATTTTTTTTATATATTTTTATAAATTATGTTTTTTTTTCAGTTGGAATATTCATAAAATATTCATATGTGAATGAATCCAGGTATTCGAATACATCGGTATTCGAATACTTTTTTGTCTTTGTATTCGAATCTTGAGTATTCGAATCCAATTTAGAGTACTATTCAGGATTCATATTCGAATACCGGATTTCAGTATTCGACCCAAGTCTGATATCAAGTAATTCAATTGTCTAGTCTCATAACTATGGACTGTATTGACTTCATAAAAAGCTAAATTTGATATTTTCAACTCATTCCTGGCAAAATGAATGAAACAACATGTTTCAAGTTCATATAACGAAATCAGGCTCAGAAAATGTCTAGGTTTGTATAAATTTACCGTTGGTTCTAGGAAATGCATTTAATTGATTTGTTTTGTAAATTTCATTAGTGGTTTCAGGCGTGAAATATTTGTACTCCTCCAAATAGGAATTAAATAAACTAAATAGTGAACTTATGAATTTGCATCCAGGATGATATGTTTTCCTTTCAATTTCAAAGTTGATATTGAATTGACATTAATTGAAAATAAAATTGGTCAAAAGCAAAACCTTCATGTACCGTATCCTTCGAAAATATGTACGAAAGATATATGAATCAAAAACCACAAAATTAATTAGAGAAATATCAATAAAGAATGTTCATGCTGAAGAAAAGGAATTGAAATTGGTAGCTAGCTGTTTCAATCTGTAGACTAAATGATATTTCTAGTCACCCAGTGAATTGAGATTGAGATAGAATTTATTTTGATTGTACTATCTATTCCACAAAACATGAAAAGAAATGATAAAATCTGATGAGACTATTAGATACATGAACGAAAAATCCTTGAAACCGTTTAGTTAACACAAAATGCGCCGAAAAAAAAATCTAAAATATGTTTCCTGTATCAGGATGTCTGGTTAGGAAATAGTATATTGTTCAACGACCACGGAATGATAGTGATTTCCTCCGAGAATGAAGTTTGCAGCATGAGCGATAGGCGAATGCTGCAATCATTCGAGTAGGAAATTAGCATTCCATGCAAGTTATGCACTATAATTGTTCTACGGCTATATTAGATAACAGGCGGCATTTTCGATTTCTTCGTCTTGTAGCCATCTGATTTCCTGTCATGTAATGCTCAACTATTAGACAGAGCTGTAATAATGAAGAATTACATTCATTTGATGACAACCATGTGAAAACCACATGCAATCAAAATGACATAATCATCAATAAAGAACATCAAAGTGTAGATTAGATCAATTTTTTGATCTCTGGATTGGATTCATGGATTGATGATACATATTGAATAATGGTTTTGGTATATTCGTGCGGGTTTAGGGGTAGGTACGTGGGAATTTCTAACTATTACTAATCAATAATCATTCCCTAGACATTGGTGTTATTCGATATTATCAAATTTGATAGTACCTATATATTAATGGAGAATATTGTAGTGAATCATGCAGTAAGCATACCATATTATGGAAATGGAAAGTGCATTGAAACTTATATTTATTTTGTAATACCTACCTAGCAACATTCTTCATGAAATTATGGATTCATAAGAGGAAGAAATTGAATTCAGGATGATGAATGTGTCAAACTGACCTTTTTCAGAATATGTAATGAAGTCCAGAAAATTAAAAATTTTTATGAGATTGTTTTACCAAGATTCAATACAAAGACCTTTCAAAGCCATATCAGATTTACTCTTGAATATTTCCATGAGTTATATTCACATTTTTCCTCTTTTGTTGGCTCATCTTTTCCATAAGTAGGTACTCACCAATTCCCTATTCCGTATCTACTATTACTAGGCTTGTTCGCGTTCGAAACAGTAGGAATATTTCAAGTTCCGTGGAACTGCGCATGCTTCTGATGGTTTCGGACTGTTTATTTTCCGAACGCGAACAAACCTTCCATTCGACAAAGTTTCTGATCACAACAAAATTATTATGATGTATGTCAAATACAGTGGCGGCTAGTGACTTTCATGACAGAGGAGGCTGAATGATATGAGATTCAATGTGAAAAACAACTCTCACCCAAATCAATAGCTGTAATGATATTCTGTTTACCAGTTAACCTGAACTTAATACTTGAAGAGATGTGTTCCTGTGATTTGCACTGTCTATCCAATCCGCGAGGCAAATTTTTCAAATCATTATATCCTAATCGCCCCCAACATGATGACTTATCGGTTGAAAATAATACGCAGTACCAACATAATAGCTTATTCCTTACCTCAGATCCCGTCAACCAGATATATTTTTTATAATTATCAGAATTGAACGAACGATTTTGTTTGTTACCTGTTACAATCAGATCTTTTAATTCCGGTGTCGGACATTTGTTTTTCACAATCAATTTATCTTCATAAGACAAAGCACTGAATGTGTTTACCAAAAAGTATCCCACTAAATCGCAATCGTTTAATACACTCATTTTTCAGAAATTTGTAGAGCCCCTAACCATTAACCTAACATAAACATGAACAATGCACTCGCGTTCGTCCGCAATTCGCGAAGCAACACGACAAACACGTGCTATTCGGGCGTATTCGGGCATTTGCATTGAGCGCGTAGGTTGCGGGATGTGACGGAGTCTAGCCTCCTATAGATGTTTCCAAGTTGAATATTTTACGCGTGATTTGCAGACTTCAACGTGTGATGCGTGGGCAAGCATTGTTGGCAATTCAAAAATATTTAACTAAAAACAGGAAATAAAATCAAAATCCATGTATTTTGGTGTCCTTTCAATGAGAAAGTATAGATAATTATATAATAATAATATTAGTTTAAGGAAAATCTCTGAGGAGGCTCAGCCTCCGTTGCCTCCTCTGAGGAGCCGCCACTGGTCAAATACCCTTATTTGTCAAACATTCCAAACATTCCACCACGCATTCGATGTTCTGAGACCGAATGGCCAGTGCCACCAGGATGAGGATGATAAGAAATTCCACAGAATAATCAATGAAACGGCGATTCTGTCCCACTGGTGACATTAACAATGTCAAAAAAACGCAACTATATTGTGATATCGGATACGGGAGTAAAATTGATGACATACAAAGTATTGATGTACCGAACATAGTAAAACAAGAGCAATCTTGTGTTATAGCCGTAGAAAAACATTATTTTTGGTATTGGGTACAGATTCAGCCCTGTAGATTTCGAATCTTGGACCTAATTAGGAATTCGTCCACAACAGGAAGTGACCGCGCCAGAACCGGAACAAAATAATCGGTTTTTAAGAAAGAGTGAACAATTCTGATGGCCCTTTTCATTTGGCCCGCAGTTTATTTCCAATTATGAAAAAGTCCTACCTTCAATTGGAACGCATGTATTTTTCGGGGAATGTCTGTAGTGCGTTTTCAATACCTCCGTCAATTTCATCAACGAGTCCGCATGTTTCTCCTAAAATAAAGAAAAATGCTATTGACGCAATCGACATTGTCTCCGTTTGTAAACTCACGATATGAACAAAGATGTGATGAGGGTCCACGATATTCGCTATTATCACATTCTCTACTTGGCTTTTCTCAAATTTCATACTGTTACTGTATATCGTGTTCGTTGGTGCATACGAAAACTGAAAAAAAAACATATACAGGGTGTGCCAGGTCCAAGTTGTCTAACTTCCGACAATCAATAAGACAACTATAAATACAGGGTACTTTGAAAATCAGTATCATTTTCAGGGACCCATTTTTCAGGTCAAAATAAGACCTTTTTTTCATACGGACCCTCTTATGACGTAGAAACCTCATCTCGCCATAGTTAAAAGAAAATACCAAACGCCCGACGGAGGCTGAGGCAACTGATATATAAATTCTTTCAACTGTGATCTCGCGCTAATTCACTCTGTCAGATATCATGTATCATTCATCTCTGTCTGGAATAGTCTTGTTTCAGTATTAGGGTTTTGACGTCACATCATCGCCTCGTTTTCAGAGGTCCGAGAGGTCGGAGATTTCAATAATTTTTAATAAAACGTAGGGAGCTCACAGCAAGAAACGGTTTGCGGTGGTGAGCTAGTTTGGGCGAGTTCTATCGAATTATGAAATAAAAATTTTTTGTGATATAAGCCTATTGATAGCCAAAGCCTTAGCCGAAGCTAGCAATTCCTTCCAAAAATCTTATTTTGATCTGAAGAATGAGCCCCTAAAATCTTGATACTGAATTTTGAAACACCCTGTATATAAAAATTTCATTGCTGAGAGAAGAAATGACACCTACTTTCTGCGAACAAACACTGTGACTGTCATTATCGCTGCTGGTATCCAAAGGGTTACTGCAGGTATTTATCAAAATATCCACGATAGATGTTAGTCCACCATCCGAGGAGGATACCATCAAATCGACGATGTGCACACCGCTATTGATGTTTTTGACCGACATGTACACTCTTTTCCTGAAAAAATAACGCATTGGAAACCATTTTATCGGGCCACAACAGTGTTCGCCTCGAAACGTCTTTCGCTAACTATGTTAGCATCTTCAGGAGAAAATTTAAACTAAATATTCGATTCTATTGTGCTACTTATATACTAGGACTATGTCCACCCAAGCGTGAAAGACACTGACCGCCAAGTTGATGTTTGTCATGGTTGAGTTCAAATGGAACGCAACAGCGAATCGTGCAGGACTATCCCCAGCCGATGCTCCGAAACTTTACAATATTTAATTCGTGAATAAAATATTGAAAAAAGTTCCTTGCTCGTGATGGGAATCAAACGCACGACCTTGCGGTCGTGAGCGTTACCACCGATACAACAAGGCCTGCATGCTTCGTGGGTGACGTCACTTAGTGAGGCCTAACCAGCGGCTCGAAACGACAAGCGCTTATAGCGCTATAAGGCGAGTGGCGACCGCGTATTTCGATTTTAGTTTTAGATCATCATTGAGCCGATTTTGCTGTTTTTTTGAAGCTCTTCCGGTTAAAAAGGATGCCAGTCGTCAACTGAGCCCTTCTTCGCACCCCATTCGATTTCATTATGGAAAAACGAAATTTTAAAACAAAAACCAGGATAAAACACAAATATCCACCTACAGCAACCCATTCGAATTAAATATATTGGCAAAAATTGTGGTGGGTAAACTTCACACCTACTTATACAGGGCCCGCAGAACATAAACTTATCGTGAGATTGATCGAAAGAAAATTGTGGAAAATCTATTTTATTTTGAATAACATGCCGTTTGTTACAATTACCTATATTTATCTTGGAGAATTCCTTTTACCTGAAAAAATAACCAGTGAGTGTTTTCAATTTTCTGTTGTTGGATTTTTCACCCAAGTGGATCGTTACACTTGAAACCGTAATTTTCAAGGGTAAAACTGCATTTATCATGCGATGGGTTTTTTTTTGAAAATTTTTTTCGGTACTCACGTATTTTTGTCTGATAAACCGAATTTTATAATGAAAATGTGAACAAACCACTATTTATTGAGATATTTCAAGAAAAAGTTCGAAATTTCGCCTTCTTTCTCCCCTTGTGTTGGGGGCATTTGAAGCTACTTGCTCTTATTTTGTCATTGGACACTTTATATACTCATGATGTACTTCGATGGCACATTTTTATATAAAAAATTCAACAGGAAATATGATTTTTATGGCGAGTTTTTCATATTTAGTGAACAAGCATTCCAGATGACGACCATTTAATCAATAGTCAATCAAAATACGAGATGTCAAATGTCAATAGATTGCTTTCGAATGAAATTTCACACGCCATTATTTTGAATGATATTCTTCAATCTTTTCACTAAATATGGATTAATCTCAAGAAAATCATATTTATAGTTGAATTATATATAAATTGTCCAATATGATGAAAAAAGAAGGGAAATTTGTTCTAAATGCCATCCAGAAGACAGGTGAAAAAGAAGGTGAAATTTGGAACTTTTTAGTCAAATATCTTCATGAAAAATATCATGATAAATGCAGTTTTACCTTTTTAAGTAGAGTGTTTGTAGTTCATGTTAATATGATAGTTGCAATTTGATCATTGGAATGAATTCTGCATTCATTGCCACGAGGCAAATGACCGTTTTCAGAAAGAAATTTGAAAATGAGAATTAAAAATGCCCGTTTATTATGAGCATTCAAGAAAATTTCCTCGAATTCAGAGATGATTTTGTTGACTATAATATACGAATACAAAACTAACTGCACAATCAAAGCTTTTCTATTTTTCCTCTACTTATACTTTTTATGAGAGAGTAATTGTCTTCTATTATTAATTCATCATTATAAATTAAGCTCTGTTTACTACTGAAATTAGATGGAGTAAAATCCTCGCAGTGAATTACCCACATTTTCGATAGCTCCTCGTCCAACGGGAAACTAAAAGCATGAAATTTTGAACCACCCACATAATTCCCCCGACAAAAGGGAACACAACACTTGAAAGGCATTGCTATTTCGCCGATCACAACACAAAATATTTCACAAAACAGTAATTTTTCCGCCAATTATTTTGATGAATAAACAACAAAAGAATTCGGGACCGTTTCAAAAACATACGTGAATCACCGATGAATTAACACGAACTAACGCGTTAGTCGACAAGCGATAAAATAAAACACTGGCCTCTCTTGGCGACGTCACGAGCTGTTTACGTCTGCTGGCCTTGTTGTATCGGTGGTAACGTCGTGAGACGGACGCTCTTCCACTGCGCCAATCCCGGCTCGATATTCGTGAATAATAATAGAGTAATAAATGATAATGGACCTGAATAGGGATATAAGATTAAGGTGAACATTTGAACTCAACCATGACAAACATTAACTTGGCGGTTAGTATCTTTCATGGTTGGGTGGACATGTATAGAATTAGCACAATAGAATAGAATATTCAGTTTCAATCTCCTCCTGAAGATGATTAACATAGTTAGCGAAACACGTGTCGAGGCGTTTAAAAAAAAACGGTTTGGTTAGTGGTTAGTGTCAAAGGTTCCAGTCGTCGATATATTATTTTATCGGTATTCAATCTCGAAACTTTCTTACCCGTTGATCATTTTACCCATGTAGACGTGTGCGTTTTTGCCCCAGTTCACGAACGTAGGGTTTTGAAGTTCGCACGATATAGCGAAGGGTTTGGGCTGAGCCAATGCCTGTGTTATTTCCCTGAACCTAAAATTATACATTATTCACAGTAACCAGCAGAAGGTATGTATAAGCCATTACAAGCTTCTAGCTAGACCAGCGAATCTTTTCACCCTAAAGGTTATCAGAAAGTTATTCTTGTTTATAGGACTTATAAGCGGTCCGATTCTCTAAGAAGTCCTTAATAGGGTGCCTAAATTAGTAACGTTGTTATCAAGAACTTTTTTAACCACCCCAGATTCTCCACTATTCATATTTGGTATACTATAAAAACAACATTTATCAATGTGGTTATTTTTTAACATTTCCACTCATTGATTATTGCTATATTTCTGTCTTTTTAACGTCTATTCAACCTAACAATTGATATACTCTACAAGCACTTGGTTCAGACATTGCTACATTAGAATCAGTCCCCCGGATAGGATCCTCGTGCAAGTAAATGTAAAGCAGCAAGTATCTGAAATATTAGGCATTAGTTATAAATATTCTCTAAGTAGTCTCTATACTGATATATTACAAAAACTCAATAGTTCCACATTTTTTTATTACAAACCTTAGCCACTCCACAAATCACCGGTGGATATCTGCCACTATAAAAAGTGGAAAAACACATGACAGGTTGTTAATGTCTTATCCATCCATGCCTTAGAGAATCAGAAAATCTGTAAGTGGTTCAAATAACCACTGACCTTCATATTAACCACCCGAATGACGCTCTTAGTGGATCGGACCGAAGGTAATATGAGGAAGGAAAATATCTCTTCTGCATGAAAAAGGAAAGTACTTTCAACCTAACTTGTCCTATATTAACCTTTTTCCTAGAAAGTATATTTTTGAAAAATTAATTGAGTGAAAAAAATGTAAAAAAAATTTACGCCTCGCAGGGATTGAACCCCATTGGAAGTCAGATACACAGTCACTAAGCTATCGCTTTATTCGTAGTACTCTAAGGATTCTAGTCAATTCAAAAAACACATTTTTTTTATGAAAAAAACCTTCTTGATAGATCTCCAAACATTTTTTATATTGAGAAATACTGGAATATAAGGTTTTATAACAGTTTTAGATTTTAGAAAATTTACATTTAAAAAAATGCAAGATACTTAGATTTTGTAAACTTTTCATCATGAGTGTTCACGATCTGTAACAATGGCAATTAAAATACTTTACTCACCTTGTGATATCAACTGTCTGAGTACTACCACGATCGATGAAAAGTACTTCGTACAAGGGTTCCGTTTCTCCATTTTTAAATTCAATAACCCTTCCTCTACACCAAATCTTTTCTCTGTGTCTCACATACAAGGTCAGATATAGTTCATCTAAAAACGAAATTTCAAATCAGATTCCTCAAAGGAATGATGATCAATCAATACTGTTGGCGATCATAATACAGGGTGGTCAAACAAAAAGTTCACATTGCGATTTTAGGGCTTTAAAATGAAAATCTAGAAAAACACTCATTGGTAAATTTGAGGCAACCCAGCATTTGGCAATGTATATTCTGTATTTGACTAATTGAGAAGGACTAATTGACAGAACTTGTTTGACTCCATTGAACCTAATAAATGGAAGACTGAATACATCAAGATCGATGTGTTGTTCAAAGGTTAATTTGTCATCTAAGGTTATTCCTAGATCTTTCACACTATCAGTTCTTCCGATGATTTGGTCTTTCAATTTCAAATCATACATAATGTGTTTGTTACCACCGGAAAAGACAATTTGATAACATTCGAGAGGTTGGGAATTATTCTGTCTCGTGAGCAATATTCAGAGAATCTATCCACATCTGATTGAAAATCTAAGTAGTCTTGGGGAGTTTCAATGTAAATGTAGATTGTTAGGTCTTCCGCGAACAGGGTATGCTTTGTGTTATGAAAACAACCTGACAGATTATTGATAAAAATATTGAATAGGAGCGGCCCCATATGTGACCCTTGTGGGACACCTGACGTAACACGGTGTAACACTTTGACTTGACACCATTAATCACGACAAATTGGGTTAGCTGATCTATGTATGAGGTTAGTAGGTTTGGTGCACACCAAATTCTTGAAGTTTAACTACAAAAATTTCATGGTGAACCGTGTCAAAAGCCTTCGAGAAGTCTGTGTCCTGCCATTTTTGAGAGAGTTTCGTGTATACATGGAACCAAATTGGTTAAGACGGATCTTGTCGAAAATGAGCCATGTTGTGATGGGTTGATGGAATTTCTCACTTGAAAAAATAGCTCGACAAAAATTATGGGTTACGCGTTTATAAACTCTTCTAGACACTCGTTTATTAAACACTCGCTCCGCTCTGCTGCACTCGTGCTAAAAATACTCGTTACTAAAAGGACGTTCATAACATAACATAACATAATATACTAAGGTACTTGATTTTTTTTTTTCGTTTTTTGTTCAATTCTCGGGATACAATTTCTCGTTAATTATAAGAATTAGAAAAATCTGATATCATGGGGATATTAGTAAGACTGTATCATATTGATGTGCTGAACATATATGTACTTATTTCAAAAGCACCTCGTATATGCGGGAAAAAGTAACTTATGAAAAGTGACAACTTGTAATCTGTCAACAGAGATAGATATGTCGAACTTTTTTCCCGTCACAGAAAAAAGTTAACATTATTGCTTACTTAGTTGGGGTTGGTCGACGGTAGCAGCGCCCATTTTGATGTAGTTGTCAATCTCTTTATTCATCTGCATGAATCTGTGCTGCATTTTTTTTATTTGGACATAGAAGCACTCCAAAGATTCGATATGAGTGACTTCTATCTCTTCAATGTCTGAAGAAAACAAAAGATTAGTGATAACGAAAAGGCGAACCACTCTAAATTACCTGATAAATTAGGTTTACCGATAATCATTTTGGAGTTCGGCGATTTTTTCTTGCTGTTCTTGGATACTTCGCTTTTCACAGATTTAACTTAAATGAAACGAGTAAAAATGAAAAATCCATGTGGCAGCTTTAATGATTCAATGCTTACTCATAGAACTCATGCAACTTTCCGCATCACTTTCATATTGCAATTCTAGAGGGTCCTTCCGGAAATCTGGAGGTAAATCATTTTCTCCAACTAGTTTGTATTCACACTCGGTATTTCTAGATAGCTTGAAATAATCTTCAATATTTTCTGCTACCGAATCCACGATGAACCTAGATGAAACATATTTTTTTCTACACAAACATGTATGTATGTACAGGGTGATGATAAAATATGGTAAGAGCTCTTTCAACGTTTCCAAATGTAGATGATGAAACAAAAACATTGTCTAGCCAGGTCTCTAGAGGGTCCTTCTGAAAATCTGGAGGTAAATCATTTTCTCCAACTAGTTTGTATTCACACTCGGTATTTCTAGATAGCTTGAAATAATCTTCAATATTTTCTGCTACCGAATCCACGATGAACCTAGATGAAACAAATTTTTTTCTACACAAACATGTATGTACAGGGTGATGATAAAATATGGTAAGAGCTCTTTCAACGTTTCCAAATCTAGATGATAAAACAAAAACATTGTCTAGCCAGGTCTCTAGAGGGTCCTTCTGAAAATCTGGAGGTAAATCATTTTCTCCAACTAGTTTGTATTCACACTCGGTATTTCTAGATAGCTTGAAATAATCTTCAATATTTTCTGCTACCGAATCCACGATGAACCTAGATGAAACAAATTTTTTTCTACACAAACATGTATGTACAGGGTGATGATAAAATATGGTAAGAGCTCTTTCAACGTTTCCAAATCTAGATGATGAAACAAAAACATTGTCTAGCCAGGTCTCTAGAGGGTCCTTCTGAAAATCTGGAGGTGAATCATTTTCTCCAACTAGTTTGTATTCACACTCGGTATTTCTAGATAGCTTGAAATAATCTTCAATATTTTCTGCTACCGAATCCACGATGAACCTAGATGAAACATATTTTTTTCTACACAAACATGTATGTATGTACAGGGTGATGATAAAATATGGTAAGAACTCTTTCAACGTTTCCAAATCTAGATGATGAAAAAAAATTGTCTAGCCAGGTCTCCATATCACGATTTTTGAACACTGAAATTATTCATGAAAAATAAAGTTAAAACTTACAAGATGATTCACATTTTAATTTAGTGATTTTCATTTCAGGTCAAACCGGAAGTAAATAGGTACCCTCCTTTTCATCTCTACAAAATCATACTTATTTTTTCTAAGAAATCCAACCTCGAAGTATTATATATTTTCATATATTTTCTATAGAGGGTTTTCAAAGAACTTCTATTCAATAAAGAAGCACAAGATTTGAAGTAAAATAAAAGGGAAAATAAAAACAATTACCTATGGATATTCATTATGTTAAAAAATACCACAATATAGGCCGACCCTGTATATTCGAAGAATAACTTACTCAATCGGCTCGATTCCTGTACTATTCAGATTGATCAAATAGCAAGGTGTATTTTGGACCTCCCTCAAAGTACTCAAAAGTTCCCTTAGATTGAGTTTTTTGTGCTCCATGTCATCACAAATTGCTACGACGTTTGTCATTTTTTCTATGGCCTTCGTCAAATTGGAATTGATTCCTTCCAGATCTTTGTGGTTATCTTCCTCGTCTTCCAAATTCGAAGCTTCCTTTCTGAGATTTTTCTCCACAAATTGCAATTTCGCGTGATAGTTAACAAAAAAATTGCAAATTTTTTCCTCGATCTTGGACGTATTATAGTTATACAAATGTTCAATTCGCTATTGAAAAAAAAAAGTGTCATCATCACTAGTTCTATTGCTGCAAGTCACTTACTCTTCTAGAGATTATCAGCTGCCTTAGAATTGTTTGTGCTTTGGTTTTAAAAGTTTGTAATTCCTCCATCTCTGAGTCACTCTGTAGGAAATATTATGATTATTTCAATGCACAATGAACAAAAACAACAATGAACACATTTAAACCTATTCTATAACAGTATATCAGTTGTTCATTCGGTAGGTGAATTATGAATGAAATTATAAATTGTTCAATACAGGGTGAAATCAACGGTTTTCCATCCTGTTTCCTACTCTAATAGTCCAAGAGCCGGCAGTAGATTTTGACATGAAGTTATGTAAAGACATTGTATTTTAACAAATATCCTGGGCGGAATGATAGACAAATTACACTTTCCTGTGCGGTAATTATGCTATCCGATACCAATTGAATGGTAGTTCTACAAACTCTACCTATCCACCCCTTAAGGTGAGTCAATTCTTTGAAATGATTTTTTTGCTACCATTATTCCGAACATACTTCCGTCCCGTATCACGAGTTGAAACACAATACAAATTTAAGGGAATAATGTCCCTTCCGCGAATATCCAAACGTGCCGCGATTCAAAGTGATCTAACCCAGATAACACATGGACATGTATGTCAAATCCTGCGATGGATATCTCATGGATGTCCATTTCGAATCCAGTAGGAGAACATAAAATCAGATCTATTTCCAAAAAGCTTCAATCTACGTTCGGACACAAGAAGATACTCATAAATTGACACTATCAAAATCAATCTTGCAAATTGAGCACATTCATAATTCCTGTGGATATCTTAGAGATATCTACTGAAGGATATCCATGTCGAATCCTACGGTGGATATCTCATGGATGTCCATTTCAAATCCAGTAGGAAAACAAGAAATCAGATCTTGACACTATCATAATCAAATTTTGCAAATTGAACATGTTCGCAATTGCTGTGGATATCTTTTCAATATCTTTAAGATATCAACTGAAGGATATCAATCAAATTCAGGGATATCCCGATCAGAATTGGAAATGTAGAGGATATCCATAGGATATCCTGTGTTATCTGGGAAGTTAGTGGCAGAGCGTCAGTTTCTCAGAATATTTCGCCCCTGTCGAAAAATAATATCCGATGAAGTGGCAATTATTATAAATGCGTGTTTTTCATATTCTCAATAGGCTAACAATTAACTCCAGAAAAAAAATCGAAGAGATAGTTTCGGCTCCTTCACCATTCTGCTGACGTCATGGGTGATCTGCCATGTTCACACATAGCTAAAACGCGATTTTGCTAGCGCGACTGCGACGCTGCCGTTTCCATTTATATGTTTGGGAATCAGGAAATTCTGCTTATATGTATTGACTGCATTGAGACTTCATTTTAATATTTGCTACCTTCTATAGAATGATATTACTATTTGATGTCCTGGTTAGTAGATAAGTATAAACCAAAAATTACCTATTTATGGGACTGATGAAATGTCTAATCAAAACAAATAAAAGATATATATATTTCAATAACATTTAGAATACCTCCATTACTCAAAGTTGTATCTTGAAATGAATGGAATCAAAATAGAATTCTAACTTGAAGGGATCCTGAGTAGATTTTCATTGTTTGCAAGAAATCGGTAAATTATACCTGGCAACCGCGCCCAAAAACAGTTTTACACCAAACCATGCCGATAGCTATGAATTTATTGAGATTATATTTCCATTGTTTATCATTGTCTATGGTTTTTGACTTTCTTCTTAATTAATGGTCGTCTTTTAGTTGTACTAACACTAGTTGAATGTGATCTAGTTGATGTGAATCAAGTTGAATTTTATCACTATAGACTAATTAGTTTTTCCGAATTGTAATATTTTCGGAAATCACTGGGAAAGCACTGATGGTAAGCAATAAGATTTAATTTAATTTTCATTCTTTTTCAGTTCATTCATTTTTCAGGATATACTCAAAATCATCATTCTTCTTCTAAAAAAGGGAACGTTGATTTTTTCTGCATTTTCAGCTCGGGCTTCTTTGGAGATTCACCGCCAGAGTTGCTATACCCATATTCACCGTTTACGTCATAATTTCCCGCCAAAATATTTCTTAATTGATCTAGTTTGAAAATAGAAATGATTTGAATCATTTCAATTGTGATTATAGATTGCAGAAACATAATCCTTTATCAGTGTGAAATATATTTGATGAAAATTCATCCCAAGGAAACTTCCCCATTGGTACTGAATAGCATCATTCTCATCTCGTTATGAAGTCGCGAAATTTACGGCAAATTAGCGCATAGAAAAGTGTAGTTTTTCATTCATTTCCCCAGGATAGTAATTGGTAGAGGTGCCGTTCGATAAAATACAATGTTTTCAAGCAAACCTGGGCTTTCTCATTATAACAGTGCTAGCAAATAAAAGATTAGTGCAAATCAAATGAATTTCATGAATGGATTGACAGTTGAATGTTACTAGGTGGCGCTCGGTTTTCATCGTTCTATGTCAAAGCCACGTCAAAACTGGGGGAAAACAAACTCAATCCTCACTCAATTGTCAATATTCGATTGAAAACGCTAATAATGCCTGTTGTAGATGTTCTTTTGGCAGATATTTTGCTCTATTTAGATGGAAAAAGGCGACCAGAAGTGGAAGGAGAAGCAGTTCTCCATGCTAATCATGTGATTTTGTGTGAGGCAGAAGACTTCAACAAAAGGCACATTTTTGTACTTTGTCTACAAACTTCGGCGATGAAATCTTCCCCACATGAAGTAAAATTGAAGTTGGGGTTCAGAGAAACTCTTGTAGAACAATGGATTTGTATTTGTTCATGTAAAGCAGGACAATCTGGGTATTGAAAACATGTTGTAGCTGTTCTTTTATATGTCAATTGATTTGCTCGTCATAATTAGTTTGAATTGTCTGAACTATCTTCAATTCTTCACCCGTTCACTGTTCACTAAACTAATAAAAATGTAATAATGTAAAAAAATTAACCAACTCAACCATCATCACTACCAACAGTAACAACACTTTATGTCATTGACAAGTTTGACTACAGCTACAGCAAGCTGAATGCAATGTAGTCTATGTACTTTATCCATAGACAACAGTTTGTTTTCCCCCAGTTTGAAGTTCGTATTATGTAACCTAGATGTCGCCCACTTTGTGAATCTCATGAATATTCACAAATGCCTAGTTTTCATGGGTGGATAACTTTTTGAGTTAGAAATCTCAATAAACCCAAGAGGAAGTATTGTAGTATCAAAATGATTTAAATTGATTGATTTCACTTTGAACAGGAACATATGTATTGGTAGAACAACTTGTAATGAAAATAAACACATTATTGACATTTTAATGAAAAACACTTACTAATCTGGACAGATTATCCTTGTCATGGCCTTCATGTTGCTCTATGATACAGTAGCAGCAAGCTTTCAATTCACATGTTCTGCAGAAATATACCACGTCCATATTGTGCTCCATACACTTTTCCAGCTCCAGATTGACGGCCCTTTTGGTGATGGTGGTTTGTTTGTGAGACCACAAAGACTTGGCGCTTTTGTGGACCACAGTGGAGCAGTTGACACAATAAACATCATTGCACTCTTGGCAGCGCAATGTTGCAGGTTTGTTGCAGGAGTGGAAGCAACATTGTTCTGAGAAGTATGTTTGATGATTTAATTTCATCAACAGATGTTTTTTTTCACTTGAATCAGTGTATCCCTGAATCTTTGGTATTTTGAAAGATGAAGAAAGAATCTCTTGACATTAAATCCATTTAAAAGACTGATTCATCACAAATACTAATTAGATTCAGTGAAAATGAATAACTATAACTAAGTATTTTTATCAACACTGGAATGGCAATCCATATGTCAGCAAGAAGTACATAATTATTGTATTCATGAGGAAAAGGTGCAATTGAATATTGTACAACAATTTATTTTACAAATGATACAAAGTTGATGATGAAAATATAAAAAATGAACATGAAATATCCCAGGAAAAAATGGAAATTCTTTGTTCTTCTGTAGATATGCCATAAAAGATAGAGGTATCAACCCCTTACTTTTCCATTATAATTTATCAATACCAATAATACCTAGAAGACCTATGGAGGTGTGTTCAATATTTGTCTCAACTTTATAGAATAACAAATTTAATGGAAAAAAGTTGAGAGGAAATGGAATATTTTTGGCAATACTTCACATATAACTTGAAAGTATCAAAAATTCCATCTTCAACAACAGCCACTATCTCACCAAAAATCATCAAAGTAGAATCAAATAAATTCTGAATCAAAAATACACACCACCTATCTCAAAACAAAATAAGAACCAGATTACCTACCAGACAATAATTTGGAACATGCATAAGAGTGATAATTAATTGCCAATGAATGTTTTCAGGATGAAGATCTCACCTCCACTTTCTTGTTCCACTCCATCAAAGATGTTGCCCAAACTTTTCCTAGAGACAGGTTCTGCAGACACCAGAATATGATTGAACTTGGTACTATTAACCTGTGCCTTGGACCATAGAATCAAACCAATCAAGTGATAATTGGGCAAAAAAGCTGTTTGGAGATTATCAATGCTTGTATTGGGTGGTAGAGCTGATGGTTTCTTACACACAGGGCATAGTAAAGAATTGTTTAAAACAGATTTGTAGATACATTCTTGACAGAGGGTATGTTTGCAGTTGAGAACAAATGGAATTTTTCCTGTATAATAGTTGTATCTTGCTAAAAATAAAAAGAAAAACTATAATGACAATAATTTGGGAAAATATTATTCATTTACCAAAACAATCAAACTTTGAGGAACAACCAGGGCATATGTAAAATTTGTTGTCATTTACATTGGAATTTGTTGCAGCAACACTTTGATTCGTTATGTCATTTTTCTTCACAACATGCAGGGGTGGTTCTTCTCTCAACTGAATGTTCAAATTTCTGAAATTGCTGAAATTCTGGTGTTCTCGACCTTCATGATCTCTATTGTCACGCCCGCGGTTAGCATGAAATTGGGTGTTAATGTATTGTTTTCTCTTTGGAGAAGCAGTGAGTCCCTTATGTTTTTGAACTGGACGATCCCGATTATAGTTCTCACGATATAATTCCGGTTGCTGATTAGGCCCGTTCTGATTTTGAACTGAACGATCTCGATTATAGTTGTCACGTCTAGGGTTCTCGCGTTTTTCAGGTTGCTGCTGAACATTCAGAGGAATTTGGTTTCTTGGTAAATAATCGTTATAATAAAATGAATACGTTTCGTCTTGTGGTTGTGGATTTGGAGCAGTAGCAAACAAATGCCGGCTTGGACCAGCCCTATTGTTATTGTAGTTATATCTGTTGTTGTACATTGTTAAATCCGAAAGTTCTTTATAGCAATACTATCCTATATCACTACTAATGATGCTGAAATGAAACAACGACTCTGGCCCGAATTTGTATGAGCTACTCACGTTAAACCGAATATTACCTTCATTATCATGATAACAAATAAGAATCACTTTTCCAAGCCGTTGAATTGAGCGTTGAATCAACGAATAACGATCAAGGGATCAAGATCAAGCCGCAAGCCAGAGATATCAGATCATCAGATGAGTTAAGAATGTTAAGAGGTGGTTAGTTACCACTGTTACCAGTGTCGGCAGTGTCCAGTGTTACCACCAGTTCATGTGTTACCCACAGTAGAGTGACTATATAAATAGAGTGCCGTCAATAGTGGTTCACTTTTTGATTGGTCAGGCCATTAAGATGGAGGTGCATCCGCCTGTTTTATTTTCTCCAGCATTCTCTCATGATTCTATGCATTCTGTGTCACTTTTTCAGTGTTTCTTGCTGTTTGTCTGTCCAATGTCGGCTAAATGAAAAAAGAATCTAGTCAGCTCTGGCCCTCTACATGTCAGTCCAATTAAGCGTTTCAGTGTATGACTGTTTGAGGGCGCCACCAGCCCGCATTAACGGAGACCTCATTTGTTTCATGACTTTTTACCGTTTTGTGGGTTAGGAATCTCCTGACATATGTCATAATTGTTTACAAATATTTAAAAAAAAATGTTGGTATTGAACTCATGATTTTGATGATTTATTTCACTCAAAATTCAAATTATTAATATTAATCATTCTTTCATTCTTCATTGAAGTATAGACAGAGTAGAATTATCTAGTTCTGGGCCCACGGAAATCTTACCAATATGGTTACTAAAATTCAGACAACTGCAAAAACATTGTTCCTCATTCCATTCCTTGTGTATTCAACTCTAGGTTTGCTTTGTGGAAGGTAAAATCTCATACTAGTTTCAATATAATTTTTTTTAGACAGTGAATTATGAAAAAAGATAGTGCCTTATCCTACATAGAAAACAGTGAAAATGAGGTGTGAATTGTTATTAGTATCATAAATCTGGAAAATCTTTCAGATTTCAGACCATTGTGGGAGAGTCCTTTGTAAATCAATCACTGTTAACATTTCAGGTATGCTTTTGTCTTGTTTTTGTACCTAATTAGATTATTTATACTGAAGAGTTGTTTGAAGTTTCAGAAAGCCACTGGTAGGACTTTTGAATATAAGTCCTGAATACCAATACAAAGCTACAACTATACCTACGTTGTTCAAAATATACCTGGAATAAGTTTATGAAAGGAAAGAGTATGGATAATGAAAACTATTATGAAATTTTCAACAATAATTTTTGAATTTGTTCAGTGGTGATCAAAAGTGAGAATAGTGCCAGTCACAATGGCACTCTTGTGACTAATGCAGTTTTATGATGGTGAAATTTATAATTGGATGAAGGGATGAAGTGCCATTTTTTCAACTGAAATGAAATTCCAAACCTCAACAGAAAATGTATTTGCTATCACAGTACTATGTAAACTCAATGACATCTTAAAAACTGGAAGGATGGAGTAGGTAAGGTATGTAAGTAAATATGATCACATGTGTACTGCTCATGAATTAATACTTTTCTATTCAATGTTCAGATACCTAGTGCATAACCATAACAAAAAAGGACAGACAGGGTAACTTCAGTATGCTAGAAGAAATAGATGCATAGACTATCCAATGAGCAAGGCAATCCTGCAATTCAATTCCCTCTCACAGGATATCAAAAATGGTTCAAGTTACAAGTTACTCTACTTGGGTCAATGATAGAAGATTTATAATAATAACAGAAAAAAGTGTATATCTCAATGTATGAAGATTATAATCAGGTAGGGACCTTATTTGGTGAAATCAAGTCAGAATAGGCTTCTAGATTTCACTCATAGAGAATTGTGTGGGAGCACCTATTTTTTCTGGCAATGATTTTCCATTTTCTTTCATGGAATATGACAGGAGGTACATCTATTTGCTGGTGATTTTTTCATGTGAGAATTCTGCAGGGGTTGGAAGGGTCCTAGCACTAAAATAATGCTTCTTAAATCATCCCACAACTACCCCTCCAAAGCAAAATAATCATAAGGAAAATCTGTTGATAGTGATTTTATTATATAGATCAATATCACACTTGTTGAACACCCTGCATGCAAATTATTTCACCCTATAACCCCATAGAGCATATCCAGCTGGTCAAGAATAAGTAATTTTCATCAAAAACCCTGCAGCAAGGAGAATTTCAACTGTATTTAAATCTTGGAGGGTTGTTCAGGGGTAGTTTATAGTTCACAAATCATGTCATTGCATGGAGTGTGTTTAACAAGTGTGAAATTATTAATACTGTATGTAGGTTAATTGAGGAGGTGGTACATTCATTCCAGATTTTTGGGGATTTTCTCCTCGTTTCTATAAAATTAAAATGTGAATATTATTTCAATATATGTGTAGTAAGGACAAATCAGATTATTTGCCCCAAAATGTCACTGTGTTTGGAGAATTTTCCTATCAGAAAACCTTACAGAAAAAAATCACTAGCTTGTCAGTGACAATTTGTATTGAAAAAGGTTTGAAGAAGAGAAATAAAGGTAAATAGAAAAAATATCCAAATTTCACTTAGCTTTGGATGTTGTGGGATATTTTTTCCTTATACCTTTATTTCTTTTGTCACTGACAAGCTAGTGAATTTTTCTTTCAGGCTCTCTGATAGGAAAACTCTTTGAACAGTGACATTTTGGGGCAAATCATCTGATTTGTCCTTCCTACATGTATATTGAAACAATATTCATATTTTTATTTTATGGTAATGAGAGAAAATTCCAAAAAATCTGGAATAATGTGTGAAATTATTGATCTAAATAATATAATCCATGAATTTCCTAAATGTTCTCATCATATTTCTGCTTTGTGGTGGTAGTTATGAAATATTCTCAGTTTAAGTCTTCAATTAAGTTCATTTATAATAGTGAATCATATTAATTATGTATATTAAATGAATGATGTTCATATTGTCTCCTCATGAATGAATAATCCACTGTTGGAAAATTTTCATGCCATCTTAATGTTTCATGTAGTATTTTTTTTCTCTAATTTTGATCTTATTTTTCATACACCATACAACTCTTGCTGTAAACTTGTTTTAGAAGCAATAAAATTATCATTATTATGGGGTGGTTTAGGAATCAACAGATACTTCACTGTTAGGAGCATCTTCAATTCCTGCAGAATAGTACTCACATAAAGGAACCACCATGAGCAAAAATGAAAATCCTTTCCTGCTTTCACACCAGTCTCATAATAATTAGGAGTACATAAAGTAGTTAGTTTCAGGTTTTTGATATATGTATAGGAGAATTTTTCAGTGAGGACATTCCATTTTTAATGTCTATTTGTTATGTTTTTCCCACTGAAAATGGCACAAAAATAGAGCAGGGAAGACAGACTTTTAAAAAATAAAAAGAAATGCCATGGAATCCTTTCAGGCATAGATTAATGTTTCAGGAAAATATTTATACTTATTTACTTCATACTAAGAGTGCTTCAAATAAAACTAAATCATCAAATAATTTTGTAATGCAAAATGATTGTAACATAACATACACAAATGCATATTAAAAAGCTACCTATAACTCCTTGTTTTTCTTCAAAGGTAAAAATTTTGTTTAGAGATAAAATTCAAATTCCTGAAGTTGATCTGTTTTTTTAAAGCCTACTTAATTGTCTATAATTTCTCGGAAATTTCATGCTGGATCTATAGATTCAACTAAACTAAGAATTAATAAACTAACAACTATGAACTTGTAAAGTTTAATAGAAGGAATGAAGATATTGGATTTGTTATTATTCAAGTGAAGTTTGGTGATATTCAATTGGATAATTTTTTATGGATTCATGAATTGTTGAGATCAAAATCACCTTTTAACATCATTTTGATCTTTAATCAAAAGATATTTAACATTTAATTCTTAATTTATATCAGATATGTATAAACACCCTCATGATTATTTATTGTTGATTCCTAATTGTTAATATATAAACTCATCTTTATAGTCTAGAAGTGTCTTCAATTTTATTTACTATGATCATAATATACCTAACTGAAAACAAGTATAAAAATCTATAACAAAATGTAATATCCTGTATATTTTCAATTTCAATAAATGTACAGGGTGGCTGGAATTTGAGCCTCATCCAAAAAACCATAATGTTCCTAGCTTTTTATCATGTATCTACAGACAGGGTGGTGAAATTATATTTTATAAATTATAAGTTGATGTTTTATTTTTCAAATACACAATAATTCTGTAAATGAAACATTGCAATTTAGGAATCTGTATTTTCCAAAGTGTAACATTTTTATATGACCAAATTACAATTTTCAGAGCCATTTCTTTAAAAACTAAAAGTTTCTCTTCATCCTCATACTCATTATTATATTTCTCGCAGAACATACCACTCACTCTATGTATGGCATTCCAAATGGTCTTCTTGATTCCTGTAATTTTAGAAAAAGTTGAATTTCAAAATTAGTTATTATTCACATTCAAATGGAAATAATAACCTTCTTTCTTGTTTTAGAAAATATTCGTTATGATGTCTCGTTACAGTTCCATAGTTATTTTTATTCATGGCTTAATACAGAGTATTCTTATCCCAGATAGACTTTTGAAGAGTAGTGTTTTGATCTCAGATAAAAATGATAAAAGCAAGACTTTGAATTTGAAAATTATATGTTCAAAGGGTATTCAAAACATATTTTTTAGTTTGTGTCAAGAAAAACATTTACTCAAAATTACCCTTTGGTAGTTCCGAGGTTAAATTTACATATCAAATGGTGAATGATTGAAGTTTGAATTTTTTTATAAATCATAGTGCTATATTTCAATTCTCTGGAATAATATCTGAAAGCAATTTCAATTAATTTAGCTACATTATTGTTATACCCACCTTATTAAAATGGACTGAAAACCTAGGTAACTAGAGCAGATGTGCTCAGGTGTTTGCATGATTCTTTATTCTATAAGATTATTGCAAATTGAAATGAATAAGAAGAATGTATTTGTATAGTCTGATGAAATTTGATTTCATCAGAAGAAACAGTCAGTCATATCAATATAATAGAGAAAAACATCTCTAGCAAATATAAATGAGCAAGAGGGAATAGTTTTTCTTCAAGCACTTTCTTGTTTGAAAAAGTAGGAGGGATACCTATTGCAGGGCAAAACCTGAATGAAAATTAATAAAGAGGATATGATAGCAAATGTGTCTCCATGTATACACCTGATTTTTTTTAAATACAAAAATCCTAGAACTATCTCTACAGGGTCCCTCATTGAGAAATGCACACACAGAAAGGGTAGATGGAGAACACTGAGGTGCTTCTGAATAATATATATTTCATGGGTTTATCATTCTGTTTAACCAAGATACAGGGTGATTAATGAATTTCACCCCTTTTTTTAACTAACCATAACTCATATCTTACTCATTTCTTCCTGCTCTTTCCAAATTTGTATGTGAAATTTTAAAATATTAAGCTACAGAGGGTGTTGTTCTGCCTCATAAAACCTACTTATCAATTTTTTCATGGCTGGCCCTGGAATGAAACTATTTTTTTTTATGTCAATCATCACCACTGTGGACAAAGAACATACAAACCAAATATCAGAAAAATGTATAGGGTGGTTCATAAGTTATAAATAATTGAAAAAATGAGGAAACTTGATAAATCACCCTGTATCATGGGTATAAAGAATGATATACCCATGAAATAAAGATTATTCAGATGCACCTTAATGTTCTCCATCTCAACTGTATGCACATTTCCCAATGAATCACCCTAATTAATTACAAAACATTATATTAGAACTAATTACCTATCCATCTAACTTACCTCTCCAAGCTTCAAATGTATATGTCCAGATATGATTGAACAAGTACAGGTACATTTCCATCCAGGTATGAAACTGACCTGAAGAAAAAACTATCAAAAGATTGTTACTTATGAACTTATGTGCTAGTCATATTTCCAAGAATATTTGATTGAATTCAAGTTACATTATGTAACCATAAATCTCAAAGTAACCCAAAATGAAATTTTAACCACACTTGAACTACTACTTTTTACTCCTATCACAATGTATGAACACTGATTTGAAACCTACCTACTCTCAGGAATCCCTATCTATAGGTGAAGTTGCAGAAGACTTCCACTCTTACAACCAAATAGGCAAACAAGGTTCTTCCTTATGATCCATTTGATTTGAATTTTGGCTATTTTTATTGTAGGTCCTATTGTAGGTTGTAGGTAATGTTTTTCCTTGCAAATTATTGTGAACTTAGATACATCATCACAATATCATTAGCTTCATGTCTTTGCATTATTATATTGCACACTCTTTGTTCCTCTTGATTGTTCATGTCAGCTGTTACACATGAACATTGGGCATGGTCATACAATGCAAAGCAATTCAAGAAGGTATGTACATATACCTAGCAATCTTGTTTCTGCAGTAGGTATACTGCATAGTATGTAATCCAATAGCAGATATCATAATCTGTTGTGCATATTCCATATCCTGAAAACTAATGCAAAGTAAAAAAAAATAATCAGCAATAATCCCCTCACCTTTTCTCATGCACAAAGCTCATGTTGATATCTGCCTAATACAGTTTCATAAGAAATTTCCATTCCACATTTCTTTTCTACGTATTTTGTGGTATTTATCTGTTTGATGGTATATTTTCCTTAGATCATATTTTCATTTTCTTTGAATATATATTTTTGCAAAAAATATGTTCATTTTCCCAACCAAAACATTCCTGGCAGCCCTTTGCTCTTTTCTTCTTTCTTTCCAATGGCCTCTGCTCTATAAGGCGATTGGCCAAAGGCAGCTCAACAATTTGAAGGTTATGAAAAAAAATAGTTCCGTAATCACCACTCGCGTCGCTGTACACCCTCTTTGGAATTTTTCGACAGAATCCTTTGAACGATTTTGGCTGTTTGGACAGACATGTAGAGGGCCAGAGCTGACTAGATTCTTTTTTCATTTAGCCGACATTGGTCTGTCTGTTTACCATTTCAGGAAAAACTGTGATTACTTTATAAACAGAAATAGAATAAAAAAACATAAATTTGAAAATTTTGAGAAAACCGAAGAACTCTTCATCGTAAGTATTTTTGTATTATGTAATAATCCTAATGGTGCCTGTAAGAACAACTCATTTTATAATATCAAATACAATTATATTAACAATATAGGTAATTTTTTGATAGGATGTATTCTTCAGATATTACAATATAGAGTCATGAACATGAAAAAAATGAAATATAAAAAAAATATCTGTAATCTGAAAATGTGAATTCTTACAGAAAATAACTACTTTTGTACTGATCTGTAGCATTGAAGTTGAAAGGGTTTTGCAAAATTTAAGAAATATATACCTGCCTACACTCAATACAAAAATCCTTCTTTTCATTTGTAAAGTCAAATGGTAACAGCACAGGAGATGAAAGTGATTACTCAGATTACTGAGTGATGGACATATTTGTATTGAGATGGAAAGTATTGTGCAATGTCTGGAATGTTTTCCAGTTTTCTACTTACAACCTATATAGAATACTTATTATGAAGTAACCTAGGTGCCATTGATTTCTCAGTATATCCACATGAAAAATAGAATACCATATACCTTATATTATTGTACTATCATTATCTGATAGGGTAGAATCAATTCAATTTCTTTAATCAATTAGATAAGATAGAAAACAACTGGAAAACAGTTTTGATAATTATGATTTTGTATTGATTTAGAAAAAAACATTTTTATTTCCTCCCAGATGCCTGATTCTTGTATTGCTTGTGGCAATAAAAGAACAAAAGGAGGACTTATTTTTTTTCAATTTCCCAAGGATCCCATAAGAAGGACAGAATGGGAACAGAAAATGGGCAGGGGATGGAAATCCTCAAAGTACTCCTTTTTGTGTGAGGTGAGAAATAATATATTCAGAAATTTTTAATTTGATTTAATCTGATTCGATGAAAAGAAAAAATGGACTTTCTTGTGGAAAATTCAAAGAACATAAATTTGAAAATAATCAAACAGTACTGGAATTGTAATGTGAATCATTTAAGAAAGCCGACAATTATACCTATAATCTTGAAAAAAAAATCCCAGACAATCTCAATTGCAATAGGAGACAATGAATTGATTCATATGTATGTTTCAAGTTGAATGTACAATTTATTTCTAGTTTGTCATTAGTAGTATCATTTGTCAGGAAAGTAAGATATTTGAATAGATTTTTCAAATTATAAAGTGATTTCAAAAGTTATGAGAAAACACATTTTAATCACATCCATAAAATGTCATCACATAATATACATTATAATAATCTGAATTAGTTGATTGCTCGTCCAGTTCCCTATTTCTTATTCTACTTCCCTTAATTTTTTTACTTCTGTGTACTCCAGTGCTTCCTCCATACTTCCTTCATACTTCCTCTACTCCTGTTACCAAATAACTAGCCAAATAATTGAAATGTGCCATTGTAACATTTACAAAATGAATAATCATTAGTGGTAAATTGACCCTACTCTCTTGATGGAATTTCATAAGAATAGAAAGTACTTCACATATGTTTAAATTCCTACAAAAATAAATATCTTCCCTTGAGTACCTACTCAAATACAAAATTGTTTTTCACAAACACAGTACCTACTGGTAGGTACTATTGAATTGTGATCACCTGAAGAATCTGTTGTGTTAATGAATTATGTTGTATGTCAAAATTTTATTTGAAATCTAACCATTTGTGAAGAATTGTTTCAATTTATTTCGAAATACTGACTCAAATGGAAAATTTCTAGGTAAACTCACAAATATAGTCTTTTACATATTTAATTTATAGATTTTACTATTCTTACATTGATACGGAAAATTACTTGGCCACTGAAATTTTAGAACAAACTAAATTTGGTACATTTCAGGATGAACTATGTAGACTTTTAAATTTATTTCTCTTAGACATGATTTTCCATTTAAGTGACTTGAAATATTCAGAATTCCAGATGGTGTATAAGCTTTAGTCCTGACTGAAATATCAGATGTATGTGTGATTTTACATAGAGGATTTTACCTATAACTCCCATGTACTTTAATGAGAATTTATATTTGCTTAGAATTGTATTGACATGTTATAAGTAGGCACAATGGGCATTTTGCATAATATGTAACCTTCCTGGTGCCTCCCAAAATTTCCTACATGCCCAGTACTTCCTACAGCTGCACAACAAACTTCCCTAGACCTTCACCCCTCGATGAAATGATAAAAAAATATTTCTAAATCAAATTATCATCATATAGCTTCATGGTCCAACAAAAGAGAGAAGTGAATTCAAATAATTTCAAGAGGGGTGGTGCACCAAGGGTGAAACGATATGAGGCCAACCAAGATGTTATGAGGTCATCCTCGGCAATATAAGAGCAAGCTGAAGCATTCTGAGGACGAATCAGGGCAACATGAAGGAACTACCAAGATGATCATTGAGTATTGGGAGATCGCACAGTATTTATTTGAAAGCCCTAGGTGTGATTCTTGGCGAGAATTTTTGTCTTTTGCAGAAGGATTATAGTTCACTATGATGCCAAAATCCTAGAATATGTTTCATCATCAAATTACTTAGATAGGTACTCTGTTTTCAAATTATTGTATATGTATTATTAAGCAAGTACCAATGAATTATTTTTCTGAAAGAATGTCAATGAATTACTAGTTATAATTAAAAAGTTCTAGTCATAAATACTTTGATGAAGTTAATTGATAAATATACTGAGTGTCAAAGTATTCTTCAGGCAGGACATGGTTTCTAGAGTGCCTTAGGAATTTCAAACCTCTACCCAACTAGGCAATGTCCATCAGATTGGTTGAAGCGAATCCAACACACTCCAGATGCACAGATAAAAATGCTTCTGAAAAATCGAATGTACCAATTTTTTTCTGAATACCATATATGATCCAACTTGCCCATAGAATCCAGAATAAGTTAAAATATCCATGGTATACCTTTAAAAATTCCCACTTTATTTTCTGGTGAATTCAACACCTTTGACAACCGTGGCTTGTCTAATGAACTCGTTGACACTTGGTATGGCTCAAAATATAATTAGAGAACAATCTCTGAATGTAAAATTGTTCAAGAGTTTCCTACAATATCAATTTTTTAATGTTTAATCCAATAATTGTTGTGATCCTAATTGTGTTGTTCATTTTTAAATATCTTTAGAATGTTTATTATTCACTGGTTCATGATATATTTTTGTGTACTGACTATATTATCTGGTAATTTCATTCTGAATAAATCTATTCTATCCACCTTTCTTCACTCTATTATCTTTTCCCTATAATGTTATGACTATAAATATAAAGGTATATTATAGTGAATATTCATGGTAAACAGTCAAAGGTAACAGTAAAAACTAAAAAAAAAAAAAAACCGAGTTTGATACTTTAATATTTACTGAAGGCTATATCTACAGTTCTGAATTTTTTTAATTACCCATATTAAAAGCAAAAAATCACACAGGACATACATTTTTTTTTCTTTAAAATCCATGACACCTTTTTAGTGAATACAAGAATCAGGGTGTGTTATTCTAACATACTATTATGTCCTGTCATTTCTTTTTCTCTTGGAGCGCATGAGAGGATATTGCTATAATGTTCGAACAACATATCATGTGTACCTAGGGAGGATAGGGAGAGGGTATATTGGAATTTTTATCAACTTTTGGAGGTTATAAGTTCTTGGAAATACTTTCTTTGGCAAAAAATTCCATAGCTTTTCCGGAGACTGACATCCATAGTTTTTGCAGATTAAAAAAAAATATGGTGGTTTCTTTTTTAATCATAATAGTAGAAACAGAAAAAACTATTCAGATTGATTCACGTCGTCATCAGAAACTGTTTCTTTTAATGTTTTGACTATTATGATAAAAGAAACATTTTTTAGATTTGTCTTTAAATTTTTTTATATAAATATTTCAATCCCCTGTTGAACTTTTTACCTCTGATTTATTTCTAGTTGGATGAATGATTCCAGAAACAATATTGTCAAAACAATTATTAGTGTTTTATGTTTATAGAAAAGTTTCTTCTATAATCATTGAATGCATACTTTTGCAATGGTTATATACAGGGTGTCCCTGGAAGGTCTTTACAAAAAACTACTATGTATTCCTCAGACGCTGGATGGCTGGCTCTGAAGTTACAATTTTCAAATCGTATTTGCTTCATAACTTCTAAAAAGCTTATCAAACCTTACTAAAATTTGGTACGTTTGACATAACTTTATTGAGTAATAAAATCCATACCATAATCATGATGAATATCATTCTGAAATTTGGATTGCCTTACTTGCCTACTACAAAAAAGGTACTCCTGATATAATTCGATTACTCTGATGGTTTCGTCAAATTTTGAATTTCAGTAAATTAGAGCATCAGTCAACATAATAACGAATAACGAACAGTTTTTCATAAATATTGTTCAAAATTTTCATCATTTTCACATATACATAGATCTATAGGATGAAGAAAATATAAATGTGTTGTTTTATTGGTAACTGAAGCTTCAAATTATGAAAATTCAAATTTTATGGAAAACATGAGAGTAATCAAATTTTATCAAGAGCACCTTTTTTTGTAGAGAACAAGTTTCTCAATCCAAATATCATATTCAAATCCTAATCTTTTTATATATGGGTTCCATTGCCTAATAAATCTATGCTATTGTACCAAATTTGAGTGAAGTCTCATGAGCCGTTTCAAAGCTTTGAAGAAAAAATGATTTGAAAATAATTGTTACTTCATAGAGCCATCTTGCGCCCAAACTAAGCTGGTCTCAGCCTCAGGGATATGTGTTTTATGACGTTTTAGTAAAGACTATTTAGGGACACCCTGTATGTTATTCAATTTGAGTCTAATTGAATTTTCGAATTTTCATCTATGGCTAATGCATGGTATTTTCAAAATAACCCTGTTTTAGGTGCATTTTTCTCCTGAAATGTGGGAGAAAACGCGGGTAGACGGAACAAGAAAACTAAAAGTAAATGCTGTTCCTACAATATTTATTAATAATGAAACTGAACGCATCTCATCCATGGCTGTTGATCCATCAACGTCAGCAGGCACTTTACTGACAATACCAACTTCAAGTCATATCTCCAGCGTTAGTTCTGAAGACATGAACTCGTTTGTTCTTCTAAGAACATCGAAAAAACAGAAGTTGGAATTGTATGAAAAAAAAAATAAGAGACAAAAGGGTACCATACAAAAATACAAGAACAAATTACGGAATGCCAACAGAAAAATAAAAAATCTTGAAGATAAGCTGAAGATGCAGACTCCAATGGAAATAACACTTCTTAAATCATGCTATAATTCGGACCAGATAACGGCACTAAAAAAAAAAAAAGAAGGCAAAACAACAAAATTTATGAAGTGGGATGATGATACAATCACAAAATCTTTGAAGCTCAAGTTTGCTTGTGGTGGTACAGGTTATGAAGAATTGTTGAAACAAAATCTGCCATATCCATCAATTCGAACTCTGCAGAGAAGATTGGAAAATATTAAATTTGACTCTGGAATATTGAATGAGGTATTTTTCCTTCTGAAAATGAAAGTAGAACATCTCAATCAATATGAAAGAGATTGTGTTCTTGTTTTGGATGAAATGGCGATTGAACCTAGGAGAACATATGATTGCTCATTAAATAAATATTTTGGGGATGTTACACTCCCTAACCACTCTGGAATAGCAACTCATGTGTTAGTATTCATGTTGGCAGGCATAAATACAAGATGGAAACAAATTGTTGCATATTATTTCACAGGTAATTCTGTTGATGGTGCTGTTTATGAGAATATAATACAGAATATTTTTCTAAAAACTTTTGAAATAAATTTGAATATAGTTTCCATAACCTCTGACATGGGTCCATCAAACCAAGCTCTATG